CCACCAGCCACCTGCCACCCCCTCGCCACCACCACCAACCCGCCACCCACCTGTCACCACCACCCACCACCCACTCGCTACCACCTACCACCCGCCACCCACCTGCTACCACCACCACCCATTCGCTACCATCCGCCACCGTCACCCACCACCACCACCCGCTATCTACTCGCCACCACCACCCACCACCACCACCACCCACCGTCACCACTTTCCACTACCGTTTTCCGCCGCCACTTGCTACCACTTGCTATTTCTCACTCTTTTTTATATTTTTAATTTTTTAAAAACATTTTGTCAATTACCAAACGCGTTTGTAGTTTATGTTTTTCTAAAAATAAACAAAAACCAGTTTATAAAATTTTTGTAAATATAAACTGAAAACGTAAACGTTACCAAACACGTATTGTTGTTGATACAAATATAATATGATAAAATGGTTATCAATATCTGATTAACTTAATTTATTACAAAACGAACTCTACATGTTACACGTTTTGAATCAATGAAATGAGCCCGAATCATGGATCACCAATCACCATGGCTCAACAATATCCTCTACTCCGATTGCAACGGGAGAGGAGTTTGTCCCTATATAATAAATAACAAGGTCGATTTGGCATTTAGTTGAAGTTTTTTTTTCCTGAACTTTTTTAGTTTTTATATTTTTTAAAAAAATTTGTGTCAAAATCATTTATATTCCCCTTTATTTGTGTATCTAGTGTACAAGAATCTAAAAAAAAAAAAAAATCAAAAAAAGTCAATTATTTTTATTTTTTTAATTTTTTGATTTTTAGTGAACTCTTTTTTCTTTCTTTTTTTTAAACTTTTCCGATTGGTCTAGTCGAGTAGAGCTTGAAGGCGTAAAACTTTTTTGGGAAAAAAATCACTAAAGATGAAAAAAGCCAACAAAAAATTCAATCCCAAAATCCCTCTAAAAAGTGAAAAGTTCCACCATCAAGGGGCCAATCCTAATTGGTAAGGGAGTTTGTTCCTCTCCTTATTAATCAGGGTTCGAATCCCCTACTATTTAAGTGGAAGTTCGACGGTTTAGGTAGATCAACTATCTTCCCTCAATTTGGCTTGTAAGGATAGATTCTAAGGGTCCTTTATTGGGGTGTTTTGGGCATCAAAAAAATATATATAAAAAAAAAAAGAAAAAAAAGTGAGAAGTTGCAAAAAGTCATTAAAAAAATAATCCCAAAATCTCCTCTTATTTTTAAGTTTTGGCCAGAATTCTTCCTTGATAAAATTTTACTAGTATATAAAAATAAAATAAAATAAATAAAAAAGTGAAGAGTTCCAAAAAGTAATTAAAAAAATCAATCCCAAAATCTCCTCTTATTTTTAAGTATTGGCCAGAATTTTTCCTTGATAAAATTTTACTAGTATATAAAAATAAAATAAAATAAAATATTCTTAATTCAAATCTTTTAAAATTTTGACACCATTTTCTTTGATAAAAAATATCTCCAACGCTAAGGTTTCATGATGTTAGTCACAGGACTAACCGCAAAATCTCTTCCTACATGTGAGAACTTCTGTAATTCACTGTGTACGCATAACATTTCTCTCTTTTTCTTTTTCCTTTTTGGTAGCTTCTTTCTAACTTCTCAAAAATAAAAGTTGGTAAATGCATTTAGTAAACCAATGAAAAATGCTTTTTGAGTTAAACAAGGTTTGAGAAGCTAGAAGTTTGATAATCCTGCTGGAGCATAGGCTGCATAGCCATGGAAGGGAGGGAGGCTAGAGAGAGAAGCTAGAAGTTTGGCAAGCTTGGTTTGGTTTTCTTTGCAAGTTGTAGGGTATATAATCACCGAAGACAAAAAAAAAAAATTACAAAATCACAAAAAGATAAAAAAAATTACAAAAGTATTAAATTATCCCATATATAAACAAAAAGTAAAAAAAGTATCATTCTATACTAAGGGTAATTTTGTCATTCTAAAGTCAAAAAGTTAAAAAAACCAAACAAAAATACCAAACGACTAAAAAAGTTAAAAAAGCCAAAAACTCAACTAAAAATGCCTTAAACACATTTTCAAGCATACACATTAGTACACAATGGAGCCAAACCTTTTCTTTTTTTTTTTTTTTTTTTTTCTTTTCTTTTTTTTTTTTTTTTCTTTTTTTCTTTTCCTCTTCTTTTTTCTTTTCAAGTTGTAGGGTATATAATCACCGAAGACAAAAAAAAAAACTACAAAATCACAAAAAGATAAAAAAATTACAAATGTATTAAATTATCCCATATATAAACAAAAAGTAAAAAAAGTATCATTCTATACTAAGGGTAATTTTGTCATTCTAAAGTCAAAAAGTCAAAAAAACCAAACAAGAATACCAAACGACTAAAAAAGTCTCAGACTAAAAAAGTTAAAAAAACCAAAAACTCAACTAAAAATGCCTTAAACACATTTTCAAGCATACACATTAGTACACAATGGAGCCAAACCTTTTCTTTCCTTTTTCTTTTTTTTTTCTTTTCCTCTTCATTTTCTTGTGCTTGTCTATGACCCTGTTTGGTACAGCTTAATTTCAGCTTATTTCAGCTTTCAGCTTAATTTAAGCTATTTTGATGTGTTTGGTTTAACTTATAGCTTATAGCTTATAGCTTTGTGGAAGTCAGAAAACAGCTTATTCTTTGAGTGGGGCAGGAGATGCTTTAAGAATAAGCTGGAAATCAGCTTAAGCTGAAAGTTATAAGCTATAAGCTGTTTAGGCATAAGCTATAAGCACTTTCCCACAACTCTACCAAACAAAGTCTATGTTTAGGTACTGCAAAATTACTGCACATTTAACATTTTCAAGCATACACATTTAATTTTCTCTTTCGGGACCTTCAAACAAGGTGTGTTTAGTCATCTGCTCTCTGTCTCCCTTTCTCTTGATGGAGATCCACCCAGAAATATTTATCAGAGGGTTTGTAACACTGATCCATTAGCGCAATATAATGATTAAAAATAATATTAAACATCACTGCATTTTTGTCACTATTATGCATATTTTTTTCGATACATCAGAAAGATTGTCACTATTTTATATCATCATTGCATTTTTCATTGTCACTATTTTATATCATTATTGCATTTTCTTCACTATTTTATATCATCGCCTACTTAAACACGAATAGTTCCTTATTTGAAAAAGAAAATTAATTTGACAATGACACAACTGTTTTAAAAAGTGATAAAACAAGATAATCAATTATAATGTGTCGGAACACATTATTTTAAGACCTGACTGAAAACTATTTGCTCGTAATCAAAGTCACCACAATAAGATAGTAACCAATACCATTTTAGAACTTACCATATAGTATGCAGTCTGTGCATTGTACACCATGATCTTCTAAGCCAAGTACATGTTGAAAACCAGAAGGATAAGCAATTCAAGCCAATACAACTCTACAAACAAACAACCATAAATTCAAGAAAAGCAACTATTTTGATACCAATCCATATGGATCTGAACAGAGCCAAGTACATGTTGAAAACCCCAAATCACATCTATAATTAACCAAGCACTCTCCATCTTCCCAGAATGCAACTAAGGATTCCCAACAAACAAAGAATTAAACCAAAAATAGATGATATTATTCATATTACCTTAAAAAAAAGTTTTCTAGGAAACAACAAACTCAAGAAAAAGGACATATGTAAGAACAATTAGAAAAGTTGTGTTTCATTCTCGGTTCCCTGGTTTTGTGACGTCAAGTTTCTAGTCTAGCTTCACCGAGGAGAACAAGTAATGCACAAACCAAAACGAAGAAAGGAAGCCAACCGTGCCTGTCGCGAGCATAATTGCCAAAACCATGAAAAGCGAGTATCCCAAGTAAAGCGTTGCAGAGACAGGTCCGCTCAGGCTCTTGAGATCAAACACGAGGTAGTTCACGGAGTATAGGAATATGTATATGGCGACCGAACCAGAAGCAAAGAAGGACTTCCACCACCACTTCCAATCCTCCACACAAAGATGCATATAGGTAAGAACAAGAGAAACCTCGGCACAAACCACCACGAGAAGCGTCATAACAATTAAGAGAAATCCAAAAACATAGTACACACGACCCATCCAAATACTCGACATGATGAAGAAGAGCTCAATGAAAAGTGTACCAAATGGAAGAGTGCCAGCCCCGAGGACTAAGAGCCAAGATGGGTATTTTTGGGCTGGGATTTCTCGAGGGATTTGATTGGTTCGAACAGGGTATTCGATGTGAGGTGCTTTTGCCCCAAGGTACCCACCAATCAAGGTAAGGGGAACCGATATGCAAAACCAGAGCAAAATGAGAATGACAAAGAGTGAAATTGGAATAGCTCCAGTGCTGTGACTACCCCACAAAAGGAAATTCAAAGTGGTTAGAATCAGAAAAGCAATACCGGGGAAGAAACAAGCAGCCCGCCAAGAGACCGAAACCCATCCTGTTTTGTCACCGCACCCAATTGTCCTCCATAGGCGAACAGCAACGTAACCGGCTGCAATTCCAAGAATCAAGTAGAAAAACAGCATACCTGTGAGGAGGGCCCCACGAGAAGCAGGCGACATGAATCCAAGGGCTGCGAACAATATGGTCACCACAGCCATACCAAGAATCTGAACCCCATCTCCAACCATTACACATAGAAGCGAAGCATTGGTTGGAGCACGGAAAACATCACCTACGACAAGTTTCCACCCGGATAACTCCTCGTTCATCTGAGCTTGAGCTTCCTTGTCGAGCTCCTCATAACGAGTCAGATCACGCCTAACCGTCCTCAAAAAGATCACGAGGACAATTCCAGCCAAAAATGTAATCACCATTAGAGAGTTGAGGATTGAGAACCAGTGGACTTTTGCTCCTTCCATTTTCAAATAAGCATCCCATCTTGATGGCCATTTGATATCACTCTCCACAAATGTGACTTCGTAGGTAAAGGCGACAGGCTCGTTTTCCTTCACAGCCATAGCAACTGCACCCAATTCGCACTTAATCGCAGACGGGTATTTATCATAAATTTTCAAGTTCTTCAAAGATTCAATATTGTGCTGGAAACTACAAGGGACCACCTCAAACCCAACAACCATGTAACCCGGTTCCTCAGATTCAGACTTCTTATTCGCTGGGATCATCTCAACGGCGTCCCCAGTACCCATCACACGAGCCACATTGGGCTCCTCGTACTTGTGAACAAGAACCGTAAATTTCAAATGGTTAAACACATAATACATATCTTGAACCTTAACACCAATTGGATACCCAGTCCAACGCAAGTAAAAACCCTCCTTTTTGGTGTAACGAATCGCAGGCAAATTATCAAGAATCAAATTAACCTGATACATCTCATCAATCCTCTTCTTCAAGATCTTAAACTCATCCGCGGATAAGGCATTGGTTTTGCAGAGAAAGATTTCTGTCCCATTGGCATACATCTTAAACCGGTATGGGGAATTCTCAATCCTATCCCCCATGAGGAGCTCACCGAGATTTTCGGCACTGTCCTTGACACCCTCTTGGGGCTTACAAAAGGGCAAACTATAATAGCTAAAGGGTATTTCAGTGTCAATTGATGTCAATGAATTCACTTTCACAGATAAGGCATCACCAATGCCATATTTGTGAGGATAACTACCCGGAAGATAAAAACCATGACCCAATTGAGATATCAAACAAACAAACAAAACCCAGATCTTGAATTGATCAAAGAAGTCCATTTTCGACGAGTGTTTTGGGTGATTTTTGTGTCAGATCTGGATAACCCAGATCAGAAAAAAGGCAAAAATCAGTAAAGTTTCAATGTGGGTATCAAGTTTCAGAGATTTCCCAAGGTTTGTAAGGTTTAGATCAGATCAAATTGAATATGGTAAGCAGTGCATTGACAAGAAAGAAAATTACAGAGAAAAGAGAAAGTGTTTATATGAAGATAACGTAAAAGCAGCACAGATCTAACTGACCTATTGCGAGGGAAAACACACTGTGTGTAATGAGAAATGTGATGTAACGCCGATCGTAGAGCTCTCTATACGAATGTAGAGAGAGAGAGAGAGAGAGAGAGAGAGAGAGAGAATCAGAGTAACCGGAAAGACAGTGCCCAAGATTTATATCGTGAGTCGTCGGTGCTGGTGGATGATGAGCCTTTCGGTTTCGGTTATATTACTCTATCTATGCCCGTAATGACCATCATGCCCCTGTTAATGTTATTCAGTTTGTTTGGTTCGAATTTTTAGATTTACCTATTAGGAAATTAAATTTTTTTATTTTTCATATTTTTTTATATTTTTGTTGAATTTCTTTTAATATTATCAGCATTTTTTTTAATTTTTATATACATCTAACATAAATATACTTAAAATGTATAATATTTGTGAAAAAAATCTCTAAAATTTTTTCCAAATATCAAAAATATAATTTTTTTTTTGAAAATTTACTATAGTTTTTATATCTTTATATATTTATTGATTTTTTGAAATATTTTTTACTTTTTAAATATATCTAAGTAAGATAAACTAAATCAAACTAAGCCTTAAGTCTTATTAAATAGGAAAATATATCTAAGTAAAATATATCTAAAAAAATTATAAAAAATACTTAAAATATTTTAGTATCATCATATTTGATAAATATTATTAAGGTGAAAGTGAAGTAAAGGAAGTGGTGGTAGACAATGAATGTGAGGTTGGGAGAACTATCCTCCCTAAATGTCAATGCCATCTTCCTTAATTTATGGTAAAGTACACTAATTTCTTTTAAAATTTAAAAAGATAAATTGAACTGACACCAACTAAAATTTTTGTTTAATATAAATTCTCTCTTCACGTTTAAAAAATTATATTTTTCTTCTTGAGCATTGTAATCTCATTATAAATTGACTCATGAATTACTGATATCATATTGTAAAATTCTTTAAATGACCATTTTTGTCCTTTTACCTACTCACTACAAAAAAATTTGTTTTTTGCGACGGTACACGGCCGTCGCAAATGCCCCGAAAGCCGTCGCTAATGTCTTTTGCGACGGTAATGTGGCTTTTTGCGACGGTAAGGGGGGGTCGCGACAGACGGGGTTGCAAAAGACCTTTCGCGACGGTAAGTACCGTCGCCATTAGTTTCTGCGACGGTAAGCCAAGTTTTTTGCGACGGCATTTTTCCCGTCGCAAATAATGGTGGGAAAATCACTTTTCGCGACGGCACGTAATTTCCGTCGCTAAAAGTGAGTTTTTGAGACGGGAACTTTACCGTCGTTAAAGGCTCTGGCATCTATAAGTATTGGCGACGGCACGGTTTACCGTCGCTAAAGGTGTCCTGTACATTCAATAAGCCAGCTTTTGCGACTGTGTTGGTACCGTCGCAAAAGCCTATTAATGGTTTTTGCGACGGGTTCTTCTCCCGTCTCAAAAAATAAAAAAAACAAAAAAAACCTTGCCGATAAATTATTAAAAAAATTAAAATAACCTGTATTAGATAAAAAATAAGTATAAAAAATTGAAAAATTACAGAATAATATAAATACGTACATAAACTAAAATTGACAAATAATGAAAATTAATAATATTGTTCAATTCATAGCAATACATAAATAAAAATTCAGAACAATAAAAATTATGCCACTACATAACGTCGCATAATACATACATAATGTTGCTCCCAAATTTAAATAACATAAATCAAAATCAAAATCAAAATCAAAAGTTTTCGTCTTCATTCGTTCGTGAGTTACAAAAACAAAAATTAGTCATAATCTTGATACGCCCGCATTCCAGAAAAAAGCCAACTGCTACTCAGGAAATATCTGAAAAAAACAAGATAAAAATAATTAAAAACCATATAATGTGTTAATATTTTAATTATAGAAAAATATAAAAAAAAATTGATTACTATATAATTAGAAAGATAGTTTAGTAAATAATTTTGACTGGACCGAAATCCGACTCTAACTCCCAAACCGGGAACCCGATTCGAGCCCCGTCTTCTCCCACAAGTCTCTCGTGCCTAGGAGGTCGTGTGTGCCAAGTTTCGTGCTAAACCGACACCGTTTGGTGATTTTGGGGCGTTAACGCCACGAATTCAAGTTTCTTAAGGAAGTAATTTGCCTAAAGTGAAATCCGGCTCTAACTCCCAAACCGGGAACCCGATGCGAGCCCCGTCTTCTCCCACAAGTCTCTCGTGATTAGGCGGTCTTGTGTGCCAAGTTTTGTGCCAACACGAAACTTGGCACACACGACCGCCTAGGCACGAGAGACTTGCGGGAGAAGACGGGGCTCGAATCGGGTTCCCGGCTTGGGAGTTAGAGCCGGATTTCACTTTAGACAAACTACTTCCTTTAAGAAACTTCTTTTCGAGGCGTTAACGCCCCAAAATCACCAAACGGAGTCGGTTTAGCACAAAACTTGGCACACACGACCGCCTAGGCACGAGAGACTTATGGGAGAAGACGGGGCTCGAATCGGGATTTCGATTTGGGAGTTAGAGTTGGATTTCACTTTAGGTAAACTACTTCCTTAAGAAACTTGAATTCGAGGCGTTAACGCCCCAAAATCACCAAACGGCGTCGGTTTAGCACAAAACTTGGCACACACGACCGCCTAGGCACGAGAGACTTATGGGAGAAGACGGGGCTCGAATCGGGATTTCGATTTGGGAGTTAGAGTTGGATTTCACTTTAGGTAAACAACTTCCTTAAGAAACTTGAATACATCAGGTTTATTTGATATGATTTGTATTCACATTATTTAAATTTGCATTTGGTTGTTACCATTGCATATTGTTTATTATTATTGTATATCGCAGGTCATGTTAGTTCTTCATCAACCTCGAGCATACGCAGAGGGAGAGAGAGTTCGTCGCCGGAGCACCACTCTTGTCGCGGAGCCGTCGCCGCCGCACCACCGATGTCTTCCTCGTAGGCCGTTTGGGGAATTTGGGGGTGAAGTTAGGGATTTGGGA